CCCAGATGTTCTCTTAAAGGACCCGCGCATAGACTCACTTGTTTGCAAACACTCACCTGGTCTCTGGTGGAGGGGCAGAAACTTGGCAGGTGCCAGAGACATACGGCAGAAAAACTGAGTGTGTGGCCTCGCAGCAAGGATTGGAGGGACAGCAGCCACTGCCCCGGTGTGAAGCCTGCCTCACCTATAGCCCAGGAGGGCACCATCTTTTCTACATTGAACCCTCCCCCAAAGGGCCAAATCTGAGACTGTATTGGTCTGGTAAAATCCGCACATGTGGACCACCTTGGTGAGGCCCTGGGTCCCCACCCTGCACAGCAAGTGCTGCATCACCTGGGGCACTCTCAGCTTCTGGGTGGCCCGCCCCACCCTACAAGCTGCGAAAGCCTTTTACGGCAATTGATGGCCTGTGGCAACCCAGACAGCTTTTAGGGGTGGACAGTGAGTCACAACTTGTGTTGCAGCCTCTCTTGAATGGTTCTCAGGGACCTGTGGGCCCAAGGCAAGCAGTGGCTAGATGCACCATTCTCGGGGCATTTTGTGACATGGTCACAGGCCAGGCACTGGAGCAAGAACGGAATCTGCATTAACCTTGTAAAAACTACCAGCCATACCTTGTGACTCCCTGGAATCCCACCCCACCCAGCTAGTGCTGCATTACCAGAGGCACTCTCAACACCGGGTAGACGAGCCCAGCCTGCACACCTAAAGAGGCTCTTTCAACAGCTGAGCCTCATAGGCAGCCTGCAGGTGGCAACAGGCCTAGGAGGCCCTGGGCCTTTTGCTAAGCTGCCCAAGGCCCAATACCCACGGCAACAAGACTCAGTTCACAATGAGGCCACCTCCACATGCCTCCAGGTCCATCACAGGCAACAACCAACCATATATAGCTTTGTGGTTCCTACCAGGTAGCCCGGGGCCAATCACAGGCAAAATGGAAATTGGCCTACACAGGAGCCCTTCCCAAGAGAAACCAGAGACAACACACCCAGAGGCCAGCTTGAGACCACATCAGAGCACTCCCCAGTTACTCCCAAAAGCGGCACATCCAAAAGGTAATCTCAACAGGCACAAGAGCCTGCAGGGGTGAATCCCCCTCTGAGAGGTCAGCCCACACACAACAGCTCATACACTGTGGGTGTAGCCAATCCACAGATTTAGTCAGACTGGGAGTCAATCCCACCCACTGACGCACCAAAAGCAATCAAGGCTCAACTATAACAGGAGAATACGCAAAACACACTCAAGGGACACTCTTGGAATACACGCACAGGAGATCGGGGAGACTGCACCACTGGACCATACAGGACACATACTACATAAGACCACGCAGCAAAGACTGAGAGACACAGGAGATCTACCTAATACATAGAAGCAAACACAGAGAGAATGAGGAAACAAAGAAACACGTCCAAAATAAAAGAATAGGAGAAATAGAACTAAATGAAATGGAAGCAACCAACCTACCAGAGACAGAGTTTAAAACACTGGTTATAAGAATTCTTAAGGAACTTAGTGAGAATTTCAACAAAGAGAGAGCAAGCAGAAAGAAGGACATATTGTAGAAACCATGAAGAAGAACAAGTCAGAAATAAAAACTACAATAGCTGAAATAAAGAATACACTAGAAGTAATCAACAGCAGATTAGATGGAGCAGAGGATTGAATCAGCAATTTAGAGGACAAGGTAGCAGAAAACACCCAGTCAAAACAGCATAAAGAAAAAAGAATTTTTAAAAAATGAAGATAGTTTAACGGACCTCTGGGATAACATTAAGTGTAACAACATTCGTGTCATAGGGGTACCAGAGGACAAGAGAGGAAGCAAGGGATTGAGAACCTATCTGAAGAAACAATAACTGAAAACTTCCTAACCTGGTGAAAGAAATAAATATACAAGCCCAGAAAGTACAAAAAGCCCCAAATAAGATGAACCCAAACAGGCCCACACCAAGTCACATTATAATTAGAATGGTAAAGGTTAAAGACAAAGAGAGAATCCTAAAAGCAGCAAGAGAAACACAACTAGTTACTTACAAGGGAGCTTCCCATAAGACTATCAGCAGATTTCTCAACAGAAACTTTGCAGGCCAGAAAGGATTGGCAGCAAATATTCAATGTGATGAAAAACAAGGGAATCTCAGCTAATTTGACTAATTGGAGAAAATGTCAAGAAGAAATTGAAAAACACTAGAATATACAGGATATCTTTAAAGTGATTTTATGACTTTCACGTGTACATGACATACGAAGTATGCCGACAAAGTACTGCTTGGGAGAGAATCCTTGGGGGTTCTGCTTTAATGAATAATTAAGTATGTTTTGAAATTAGCTTTCCATTGCCTGTAGTAAATCCCCATGCATGCTTGAAAGTAGTTGCTTTCTAATTCATGAAGATAGTTTCCCTCTACTGTCTTGCTTACTCTATTTTGAGGGATAATGGATGTAGAGAACTCTAGGGAAGGCCACTGATGCAGGACCCACCAGGAGCCAAGGTGAAAGGGCAGAGGCAGATGTTGTCAAGCCCAGGCCAGAGAGTGCCCCAGGCCCAGGAGGTGTCAGAAAAACCAGCCTACTTGGAACCCAAGGGGCTCAGTTGTGGGCCATACTGCAATGAGGACTTCAGAGAAGAGTTCCTGACCTAATGGAGACTTTGTTGTTAAAACCAAGGAGACTATGGGGGCTGGCTGAGTGGCGCATTGGTTAAGAGTTGGCTTTGGACGCCAGCTCTGAGCAGCAGGGCCCTGGTTCGGATCCCACATGAGGACCAGTGACACTGCACCCTCTACAGCTAAGATGGTGAACAACAGCTCGACCTGGAGCTGGGCTGCGGTGAGTCACCGGTGACAGCGTAGGCTGCAGTGGGCTGCCATAAGCTACCATGAGTGGCTGGCAGCCCGTGTGAGCTGCCGGCAGCTGGCATTAGCTTTCATGAGCTGCTGTGAGACGCTGTGAGCGGCCGTCCAATGGCTGGTGAGCAACTGCCTCACCCGGGAAGAGTGCAATGATAATACTATCATGGGCCAGTGAAGAAACATCCCTCACATCTAGACTGAATAACAAACGGACAGCAACTTGTCTGTTCCCCTCCCCCAATTCCCCAATAAAATCTTTAAAAAAAAAAAACCCAAGGAGACTGTGACCTGAGGTACTGATAGGCTTGGACCCAGGTTCCTATAGGTAGCTCTCGACCCTGAACATCTTGGTCTTGTTCACATGCTATGCTGGATATTCCCTGCTTGCCCCACCCCTACCCCAACCAGATCCATTCTCCACCTGCTCTATGCCCCATGTCTTAAAACTTAAGAACCGTGTCTTTGACTCTTTCTGGCTGAGTTTGGGTTCATCAACACCTGGGATATTTATTGCCCCAGATTTCTTAATGCTTGGCCAAGATTTGGCAGTAACTACATTTCTTTATCAAAGGCCAGAGCTGCTATGTGGAAACCCCATTCTTACAGCTACATCCCTGGCCTGCTTCCTCTGGTCGCTTCCCCCTTGCCTCTCTAGACTCAGCAGTGGTAGTAGCTCCCTGTTGCTGCTCTCCTGGCATCTTCCTCATCCTCTACTTGTTCCTTTAGCTGTGCCTACTTTTGCATATGGTCCTTTCATTAGCTCTCACATGTACCTTCACTTCTCTGCTCGGACCCTGCCAGATCTGCTACAGTATCTCCAGTATCCATACTTTGGCAAATAGTAGGTGCTCAATAAAAATGCATTGGAAACAAAATGGACTGAGGGTTGGGGAATAGACTTGGCTTCAGCTTTGAAGTAGTTTTACTCTCCTTTCATTCTCTTCCCAGCCCCCTTTCCCTCCATTCCTTTCTTAAATGTTTGACTCTGCAGCTTTTGGTTTATGATCTTGCTCCCCAATTGTCCCCAGGAACTGAGAACTGAGGGGACAATGCCTGAGCCACAGTTACCCATCACCCCCCCTGAAAAGAACAAGAATTTGAAACTCGGGACAACCAAATTCCCAAGCCAGTGTTTGGATTCTGCTGAAAAATGTCGTGGAAAATGTGACACGAGTGGTTGGTAAAGGGGAAATGTTTGAACATGGAAGTCAGAGAACTGAAAACTTAGCACATCCCATCTGGCATGCATGGGCCACAACAGAGAGCAAACCAGGTTTGTGGAGGGGAACTCTGGATTCATACACACTGTAGCCGAGGGTTTCTCATCTGGCATTTGAATATGCTGACAAGCTGTGCTGAGTGGCCGTCTCATTTTCCGAGCCCATAATGAAATGATAAAGGAGAGAGAGGTCAGTTGCCCTGGGCCTTTCTTTAGCTAAGGCCACAAATGCTGAATTCGTGCAACTGGATAGGGCAAGGTGACTGAACATTAGTGCATGTGACGTTTATTATCAAGCATTGGAGCTAATCAGCAGTAAAAACAAGGACCGTGTTGCAGCTGGGGCTTCTGGCCCTCCAGAATACATGAGAGATAGGAAGCTGATGTCTCAGTTATCCATAGAAACTTTGACCTCCATTCCTTTTTATCCTTTTTTTTTTTTTTAACAAAAGCCTATGTAAACGTCCTTGCATTACAGCAGAGACATTTCCTGTGGCTTTTAAAAGAAAAATCTGCGAATTTCAATCTCCTCATAGCCTTCTGGTTTTGTTCCGTTTGCTGCAAGTATTTGTTGAATATCAGGAACATTCTAGGCCCTGTAGATGGACACGCCTAGAGGGATGACAAGGGACCAGAGAGCACTGCCTCTGGCATGTCAGGCATTTGTAGCAGGGACCTGTTGGGGTCAGCAGTCAGTTGGGGGTGAGCCAAGCCTGAATATGAATCGCTGGCTGTGTGACCTTCACCCCTCCCGTCTCAGTTTCCACATGACGGCAGTGGGGATAATCCCTACATCACTGCATTGTTGGGAGGATTAAATGAGGCAACAGTACCCAGTACCCAGAATAGCCCCTGGCCCTTGCAGGCCCTGGGTAAGTGGTGTCTGCAAAACCCGCGCTGGTTGACCACAAAGGCGGTGGTGGGGATGCACGATGAACTGGATCACTTGTTTTCCCCAGTCTGACAAAAGAAGTCCCCTGGCTCTTACTGGGCGTAAAGCAGCCAAAGCAGAATGCGTCCTAAGAGTCCCCTTTGTCCGGACAGAGGCCTCATTTGTCAGACACAAATGCTGCCCTGGCAGTCCTGGATGCCTGTGTCACTGTGACAAATCTGTTTGGGTTGGAGTACCAGAAGTTCACCGCTGTGATGCGTCCAAGCTCCCAGGCTGCCCCAGTGCCGCCGGGAACTCATTCACAGCGGCCCTGCACCCGGGCTCCTGCAGCCTCGGGCTGTAAATTCTGAGACTCAGCAATTAATTTTGATGAACTCGCTCCTCTCTGGGTCGAGGGTTCCCAGGAGCCCTGGCCTGCCGATGGGTTGGAGGACTTGTGGAGAGACTTCCTGGGTTCCAGGAGCAAGCCGATGGGTGTTGGAGGTAAGGGGCCCCTGGCAGGATTCCCTCTTGGTGACCGCCCTTGGAGCCTGCGCATTGTACATGTGACTGGGGAAAGCCACTGCTTGAGCTCTGTATGTTGTTAAAGATTAAAAACAAGGGGGGACTTCTAACAGAATTTGATAGAGGAACTCCTTACGAACAGTGTCTCAATCTGCTCAGGTGAACTGCACACCTGCAGACAAAGACGACTGGAAGCTAAATTCCGGGGTAGCGGGTCTCGCGTGCCAGCTCTTACCTGGACTTCATGTGGGAGAACCTCGGAGTCCCACCCATTCCTCTCAGGCACTTACTGCTTCCTCCCGCCTGCCTGAGAGGGTGAGTGATGCACAGGAACAGGGAGGGCTGTGTATCTGCAGAACTCCACTGCAAGTGAACTTCCGGTATGAACATTTCTAAAATTTCTATTTTTATTTTTAGTTGTGGTAAAGTACATATACCATAAATTGACCATCTTAACCATGTTTAAGTGTACAGCTCAGTAGTATTTTCACACTGTTGTGCAACCATCTCCAGGAACTCTTTCCAACTTGCAAAACTCAAGTTCTGTGCTGGTAAAACAATAAGCCCCCATTCCCCTTTGTCCATGAGCACAAGACAATCATGCTCTGCTTTCTGTCTTTATGACTTTGAGGACTCTAAGTATCTCAGATAAATGGAATCATGCAGTAGTTGTCTTTTGTGCTCAGCGTTTTTCACTTAGCATAATATCCTCAGGGTTCATCCAGGTTGTAGCAGGTGTCAGGATTTTCTTACTTTTTTTTTTTTTAAAGATTTTTATTGGGGAATTGGGGGAATGGGAACAGCGCTGGGAAATTGGGGGAAGGGGAACAGACAAGTTGCTATCCTTCTGTCCTTCAGTCTAGTTGTGGAGGACGTGGCTTCACTGGCCCAAGTTGGCACCATCATTGCGCTCTTCCCGGGTGAGGCAGATCAGTCGCCGGCTTCTGGACGGCTGCTCACTGCGGCTGCTG